ATAAGCACAAAACCGAGTGCATAGCATTAGAGGGCTCTGCAAATTCTTGTCAGACTGAGTAACGGCTGCTCTCATTGTTCTACAAAAGCTTCGAAATGTCATATTTTTCATTCCCCAGGTTAAAGCCTTTGGCTGCTCCTGGGTTTCAGAGGCATGGCCATGAAAAAGGCTTCCTTCCTTTTTTGGTTGTTCTGAAACACCAACTACAAAAAGTTTTGTACTTGGCCTTTAGCCCCATGAAGTTGTTTTTGCTAAAGGCAGCTATGAGGGGCCTGTGGCCAGATTAGTCCTATTATGAGATCTTCAAAATCATGTTTGGAGTTAGTTTCGGCGATCAGAATAACAGTGAGTTACGTCCTGGCTGAACAAAATTAATAAGTTTTTTTTTTCAATCATTGATTGTCTCTGGCATTAGTTTCTCAATTCCAACTTAAGAATTTCAAAGTTTTATTTTGGTTTTCTCACACAATACCTAAAGGTAAACTAGTAAAAAAGTTATTTTTGCCCAAGGAGTATTCTTGCCTTAATTCTTCTGGGGGTACAACTAACCAATCTGATTTGGAGAAAACATATTTGAAAGTACAGAACTGCTTAAGCTATCTACATAATAGTTACTATAATTTGCTACTATCCATTAACTAGTATTGAGAACAAAAGAATAGGTAGTCAATTTCCTTGTACATGTGAGCTTGAATATCACCATTGGTTTTGAATAAGTTTAGTGAAAACAGAACTTATTTGAGCCTTTTACAGTCCTATTCAATATTACCAAAAATATCTTGTGTTATATAAACCGCTTTTAAGTGTTTTTTGCCTTATTATCTAAGGAAGCTGCATGCTATTGTGTAAATAACACTGGACCTGGAGTCAGAACATCCAGGGTCCACTCCTGAGTCAGCAACTTAACCATATGTAACTCTAGATAAGTAGAGTCATTCCTTCCACATCGGGGGTTAGGGACATGGTGCCCCAGTGAGCTGCATAAAATATTTTGGCTCTCTTTTCGTACCAAAGAAAAAGTCTGAATTTTTTCTTTTTCTTTTGTAGGACGTTTACAGTACCTTATTGTAAAATGTGGGTTGATAATATACAATACTATATATGTATGTTATGCATTTCTGAGTTTCTAACTTTTTCTGTGTCATCTGCTAGCCTTTGAGTGTTGCCTGCTGCTTCCACAAAACTCCCCCCAAATTCCCATTTAATTTCTTATACTGACCTGCAATATATAGAAACCAATGAGATAAGTTGTAATGTGAAAGGGATAACTGTAATTTAACCTCTGAGCCTGCTTCTTCACCAGCAAAAGGGGATAACATTTGTAAATCAATCAATAAGCATTTATTAAGTGCTTACTATGGCCAGACACTGTTCTAAGTGTTGGGGATACAAAAAAAAAAAAAAAAAGCAAAAACAGTCTTTGACCTAAAGGAGCATATATTTTAATGATGAGGTAGACAGAGTGTTTGAGGCAGACAGGGCAGGCAGGATGTAGGACATCAGATATGAGATAAAATGCAGGATGTTACCAGCCATAGACTATGCATTGATGCTCCCACTGCGGACTTATCTGTGTGCTTTCACAAAGCATCCCCCAACTACATGACATTTCAGAACAGCTCTCCCCTTACCCCTTCCTGTTCCCATTGTTTATCTGTATGACAAAGACACCTCTGGACCACCTGATATTCCAGGCATTCCAGAGCTGTGCTTGCCTCTCCTCCCCTTCTTCTGCTTTCCTTCCCCTATCCCATCAAACTGTATTTAGACCAGACACCTAACCTGGCTAACTGCTGTCTCCCATGTGGAGAGAGGCCTGCTAGGGCTCTGTCTCTCCCAAATAGATGTCCTGGAGACAATCTGAGTGAATTCTTTTCAGGATAGACCCTGTAACCTACGCATCTATTTCTTGTCATTCTGGTGCACTCCATTTTGGGGTGCCCGTGAACCCCAACACTAACAGGTGGCAATGCAGATAGATCAGAACATATGAGATAAATACAGAATAGAGGGAAGGTAACTTTTGTGGAGATGGCAGCAGAAGTTGGGGGAGATCAGCCCGAGGAGGTGCTACTTAAACTGAGTCATAAAGGAAACAAAAGCTTCTATGAGTTGGGAGGATGGATACCATTCGAGACACAGAAATGGGAGATGACGTGCTCCATGTGAGGAACAGAAGGTAGGCAAGGATGGCTGGATCCTAGAGTACATGGGAGGGAAGACAATATAAGAGGCCCGTGGAAGGTTGGCAGAGGCCATGTTGAGAAGAATTTTAAATGCCAAAAGTAATTTTATTTCCTGTTGGTAATGGGGAGCCACTAGATGTTATTGAGTAATAGAGTGACATTCTTTTTTCTACGCTCAAGGAAAATCCCTCTGTCAGCTGAGTAGAAGAGGGATTAGAATGGGGATAGACTTGAGGCCAAGAGGCTGATTAGAAGGCTATGGCAACATCAGAGGTGAGCTGCAATGAGGGCCTGAGCCAAGGTGGTTATCCACGTCAGGGGAGAGAATGGGACATATGTGAGATATTACAAAGGTAGAATCAATGTAGGGGCAGGGAGGAGAAGGGATGTATGCTAGAGATATTGTAAAGAAAGAAATAATAAAATCTGGTAAATGACTGGATATTTTAATGGAGGTAAGGAGAGAGAAATCAAGGATGTCACTGCAGTTGCAAACCAGGGTGAATGGAATGACAGTGGTGCCCTCAAAAGTAATAGGACAATAAGATGCAGAGGCAGCTAGGTGGCGCAGTGGATAGAATAGAGGCCCTGGAGTCAGGAGGACCTGAGTTCAAATCGGCCTCAGACACATAACACTCGCTAGCTGTGTGACTCTGGGCAAACTACTTAACCCCAATTGCCTCAAAAAAAAAAAAAAAGAAGTAATAGGATGTGTGGGAAAGAGTGAAGGTTTAGGGTAAAAGCTAGTGAGTTCTGTTTTGCACAGACTGATTTGGAGATGCTGATAGGACATCTAGTTCAAATTGTTCAACAGGCAGTTGGTGACATGGGGTTGGAACACATGAGAGAGATGAAGACAAGATAAATAGATTTGGAAATAGGCTAGGTAAATCTGTACAGTGATGATATCTAAATTCTTGAAAAGCTATGAGACAGTCCAGTAAGAGCATGGAGAGAAAGAAGAAAGGGCCCAGGATATAAAAGTTATGGGACACCCACAGCAAGTTAAAGTGACATGGATAAAGATCCAGCAAAAGAATCTGAGAAGTGGTCAGACAGGTAGGAAAAGAACCAAGAGGAAACAGTCACAAAAACTCAGAAATTAGGGAATATCCAAGAGGCGGGGAGAGTTAACAGTATCAAGTATTCCAGAAAGGTTAAGAAGAATGAGGACTGAGGTAATTAAATTTGGCAATTAACACTGGTAACTTTGGAGAGAGCAGTTTCAGTTGAATGATGAGGTTAGAAGCCAGATTTCAAGAGGAAGTTGAGGCTTTCAGAAAAAAGAAGATGAGAAGGCTATTGGGTATGGTAGGATCTAGCAAAGGTTTTTCTAGGCATGAAGGAAACTTAATTGTATTTGTAGGTAGCAGGAAGGGAGAGTAGACAGGGAAAGAGTGAGGATTAGAGAGACAGTGAGGATGAAAGTGGGGGGTAATCTCTTGCACATAATTTTACTTGCTCAGTTCAATATTTACAAAATTAATAATTTTATTAGTTTTGGGATTCTCTCCATTGACACAGATCACAAACTCTTTCCAACTTGGGAAATGGTCTTGAAAAGTTGCTGGGGCCAAAAAATTCTTTACCTCGCAGTCACCCTGGTGAAAATCCTCTCCAAAGTTAGCTAGGATAGTCCTGGGATATTATATACACTATCCATTTCTGGAATCTGCACTCAAAGGCTTTCCATCTTGACAGGACTTCCTGGTGTCTGTGCTGCCATGGTATGACCTTTCTATAACTACCTGCATAGCATGATGAAGCATCAGACTACCTCAATGGAAGAAAAAAAATTATTTACTTAAAGTGGTTCAAACATATTCTTATTTCTCATAATTCAACTGAAGCTGCTCTCACCAAAATTATCAATGATCTCTAATTGCCAAATCTGATTTTTTTTCTTTGTCTTCTTCCTTCTTGACCTCACTGTACTGCTCAACAGTGCTAATCACCCTCTCCTCCTGGATATGCAATCATTTCTGGATTTTTGTGACATGGCTTTCTCCTGGTTCTCCTAGTCTCCTCTGCCCTTGCAAGAAGTGTGATTACGTAATGCTGTGGGAGTTGGTGCTCCCATTATCGGCACCTACTATGTGCCAGGGACTGTAGTAAGGGCTGAGTATACAAAGAAAGGCAAAAGGCAGCCTGTCTCTTCCAGGAGCTCAGACTAATGGGGGACACAACATGAAAACTGCTAATGTACAAACGTGATAGGCAGTTATTGGAGATAATTCTCACAGGGGGTTTTCTATTGCCAGCCCAGCCCCATGGCCTTTCTTTCTTTTTTTTTTGTGTCACAACACCTAAATTTCCCCCTACATTCGCCTACGTGTAAAGTGCTTAGCGCAGTCTCCAGCACATAGTAGGCCCTTCATAAATGCTTGTTCCTTTCCCCATTCCCTAGAGGGCGGAAGAGGTCCCTTACAGGTCTCAGATCCAGTATGGAGGAGGAGCCGGGGCTTGGAAAGCGTGTGATGCTCTCTCCACCTCCCTCCCTGAGATCGGGGAGCGGGCTAGGAGGCCCGGGCGGCACGTGCCTGTGGACCTTCGAAGCGCACAGAGAACGGAAGGCGGGGGTGCGGTGGGGGAGGGGGTAGCGCACGGCGGGGTCGGGGTGGGGCCGCGGTGCCCTCCCCGCGCCGCGCACGCCCTCACTAGGTGGCGCTCGAGAGCAGCCCGAGGGCGGAGCGTTGCGCGCGCAGGGTCCCCCCCCCCCCCCCCCCCCCCCCCCCCCCCCCCCGGGCCCCCCCGGGCGCCCCCCCCGGGGGGGGGGGCTCGGGCCGGGGGGCCCCCCCCCCCCCCCGTCGGTACCTGGAACTCGGGCTCTTCCCCTTCGGGCCACGAACTGATGGGCAGGTTCTCGAGGCCGCGCCCTACGTCCCGCTGCCCTCCAGAGGAGGCCCTGGGCTGTTCCTCTGACATGCTGGCTTCTGAGGGCGGCCGTAGCCAAGCGTCTTCTCCCTTCTTGGCTTCTTCCTCGCTGCTGACCGCCTCAGCTCCCGGTTCGTAGTTCTTAGCGAGGCAGGGAGAGGTGACCTCAGGCCCTCAAAACCACCCTCTACTTACCCGCACCCATCTTCATCCCTGTGAAGCACCGCCTAATGGGTTAATCCAGGAGACTGCTGGGAGAGGTTGGCTCCCCTGCCCCGTGGGCTCATGGGAGTTGTAGTCCCCGGCTCGGCCGCCCTCCCTCCACCTGCTGCAGGCAGGGGCGGAGAATCAATCAATCACCTCGCGTTTACGGTTCACCGGCTTCTCAGTGGGTGACCCAGTGGTGCCAATCAGAAGACACCAGGGAAGCAACCTCGCCGGATTTCTGTTAACTTACCAAAACAATTTTATGGATGTCATCTGTCTTTATACCGCCGCTATTTCTGGGAAGGAAAACCCCCCAACAGCTGAGCAAAAGCATCTGGTGCAGTGACGTCATGGGACATTGGCGCTGCCCTGCGCACGTAGTAGGCGCTTAAGAAATAATTGTTGAATGACTTCTTAGACGCCACCTTAAGCTCACTGCCCTCGACTTGAGTAAGGAGGTGTGTCTTATTATCTGTGCTCTGGGACTTGCGTTGGTTTTTTAGTTAAACTGGACTTCAACTTCCTAGTTTAGTATGTGTGGCCGACTTCCTTTTTGGTGATTTTTTCCTTTTCGTTATTATACATATTATTCTGTAGGTTCTGTTCTCTCTGCCTCCCGCTTTGAATCAATTCTTACAAAGTTTTCCTTCTGCTGTTTAAAAAATGATCTAGGTTTGCAGATTTCAAGCTTTGATGGGCCTCAGAGGTTATTTACTCCACCTCTTTTCCCTCTTTCCCTCCAAATTCGGTCCAGTCTATGTGCCAGGCATTGTGCTAAGTTTTGGGGATACAATTAATAAAAAGAGACAGTCCCTGCCCTCAAGGAGCTTACAATCTAATGATTTTAATTCAATTGAAATAGGGCTTAAGAGCTTACTAGGTGCCTGTAAAATGCTATTCTAGACTGTGGGGATACAAAATAGAAAAAAAAAATAACTCAAGCCTTTTTTAAGAGCTTATGTGCCACCAAGTACCTCGATTAGAAAAAAAAAACAACCAAAAAACAAAAAACCAAACAAACCAAAAACAGTCCCTGCCCTCATGTAGCTTACATTCTAATGGGAGAGATGACATATATAGGTTAAAATGATACCCTCAAGGAATGTATGTTCTAGTGGGAGTGGGGGGAGGAGAATTCAGTATGTAAAAAGTTAAATAAATGTGAAAGATTTAGGATCTACAACATGTCTGTGAGAGGCAGTGTACTAGTCTTGAGAGCTGGTCTGGAAGGTGCCTCAAGCAACTAGGAAGGGCTGTGGGCCTGGAGTTTGAATGTGACATTTAACAGCTGTGTGACTCATGGCAAATCATTTTAAAAACCGCTGTTTTCCTCGTCTGTAAAACGGGGATAACAATAGCCATTGTATCACAGGGTTGTTGTGAGGATCAAATGAGATAATAGTTGTAAAGTGCTTAGCACATGGAAAACATTTTATAAATGCTAGCTATAATAATAATAATAATGATAATAGTAATAATAGTCAAGACCAACAAAACACCTGCCTCTGACATGCATTCCTTCTGTGATTCTAGGTAAGTCATAATCTCTCAGTGCTCTAGGTAACTGTCTAAGACTATATACATTGTAGAGAAAGTGGTGTATGGTTGAGGAAGTTCCTCACCAAGTGCTTGTTTCCATCACCAATGAAATCATGGGTCCAATCCCTATGCCTAAAATGTCCATGGCTTTACACAGACCTTTTAGGAGGCAAGGAGAGGCTAAGTGACTTGCCCAGAATTAATTGCCATTAAAATATCAAAGGAGGAATTGGGATCTAGTTTTTCTTGACTCCAGGGTTGGCAGTCTATTGATTAGATGAGACTTCCTCTTAAATAGAGTGTATAGGGAAGGATTTTAGGAGGGAGGAACAGTGATAGATGGAGGATCAGAAAAGGACTGATATAGGAAGTGGTCCTTGGGTTGACCCCTTAATGGAAGCTGATGATTCCAGGAGATAGAGGTGACAAGGGAATGCCTTTCAGTCAGCTGGAACAGCCTGTGCAGAGTTTGGAGGCAAGAGATGGAGTGTGTATGAGGAACAATAAATAGGCCAATTTAGCTAAAATATCCTGTGAGAGAAGAAGTGATATGATGCAGCTTTTGTTCTACAGGGAGATTGAAGATTTCGATGCTGAAACTGAGGCCTAGAGAGACTAAGTGATTTGCCTGAGGTAAGTAAACAGCAGAGCTTATCCTCAGTAACCAAATTCAGATTTCACGTTGGGGGATTTCCAAATAGCATCCTGTCTGGGGTTCAGTTTGGGAGGATAACACCAGCAACAGTTATTCCTTCTGTCTTCTGCTGCTAAATCCTCAAGGTTTGGTTTTGACTTATCGTTGAAATTGTCAGGGTGAGATTTTAGGAGACCAGAAATCACTGTGACTAAGATATTCCTTAAAATATATTTAAAAAAATTTAAAGCCTCTTTTATCGTACCGATAAGAGGTGAAGTTTAGGATACAGATTTGGCCAAAAGTCCTGACTGGCTGAGCAGGGATAGGACCCAGGTACTCAGATGCCTGGCCTAGTGTCCTTCCCAGGTCACTCCTACCACACAGGATCTTGATCACCAGATCAGCTGGCCTGTTTTCTACCATAGACTTTACATTTGTACTTAGTAGTAAAATTAGTGGCATTAAATTCTTACCTGAGAGTAAGTGCCTAAAGCAGTGGGGGGGAGGTAGTGGACAAAAGGAAAAGCTACTATATACAAAATTTACCTGCTTAGCGAGTGCCTCATATGTGTAAAGCTATGGGGATTCGAAGAAGAAAATGCTGATTGTTTACCTTGAAGGGGCTTTTTTATTCTGCTAGGGAGATTGTGACATATATATTACATGACAGGTGTGATGAAGGCACAGGAGAGGTCTAGACAAAATGTTCTAGGACTATATGAAAGCATCTTTTCATCAGGGAGGGACACCAGGGAAAGCTTCACAGAAGAGCAGGGACCTGTTAGGTCTTCAGGAAAGGAGTCTGAAAGCCAAGTTGAGGAGAGAATTCGTTCTAAGCTTGGCAGTGTCCTTCCTTGACTTCCTGGAGCTGAGAGACCTGTGGCTGGCCCGAGCCCACACCGGCTCTTCTCCCCTGTTCTCCTCTCCACCGCCTCTGCTTTCCTGCCCGCTTTCAGCTCCACTGAATCATGTCCCTCCTAAGTAGGCTCATCACTTCTAACCTCACCACCACGTTGCTAACTCAAGAAACCCTCTCTCCCAGTGCCCCCTCTCCTCTGATTGGAGGGCTGAAGAACAGAGTACCAAACTGTTTCTAAAGCCAGCCTTTATAGAGGGCAGAAATTGGACTTTTAACTGCCTCTACTGCCCTGCCTGATTTAAACTCCACTGAACAAGATGGCCCCATGCCAGGTGTCCCCTGGTTTTCCCAACCCTTCTCTGCCTTCTTTTGTGAGTTGTCTCTTCCCATTAGATTGTGAACTTCTTGAGGCCAGGGGCTGTCTTTCTTTTCCTCAGTTATATCCCCAGCACTTAGCACAGTGTCTGGCACATAGTAAGCACTTAATAAACGTTTATTGGTTTGGGTTGTATTTCCTACCAGCTAAGCGCTTATTCCTTTGTTCATGGAACCATTCTGGTTTAGTACCATGAGATCTGGAATCCCATTTCTCCTGTTCACTGGCTGTGTCACTTCTGGCAAAGCATTTACTTCTCTGGGCATCAGTTTTCTCAACTGTGAATTGATGGAATGGCTGAATGATTTCTCTTCCAAATGTGGCGTTCTATGACTCTCTGTCTGGCTTAAGTGTCTTCTATGAGTTTGATCAGTGGGTCATAAGCTCTCCATAGGTCTATCACACCACCTGCCTGGGTCATAGGATTGATGTAAAGAAAGCATTTTTTTTAAAACCCTGAAGTTATGTATGTGTAAGATGCTACTGTTGCTACTGGTTTTCTCGGCCCAGAACAAAGCTTTTCACCCAGAGGGCACTCAGCAAGTTGTGATTAATAACAACAGGTTCCCTCTTTCTTACTTTAGGGAAGAACAGAAACCACCATTAGCCAAACATGAAAGCTATTTTTAGGCATTTAGCAAAATACTCTGACACTGGCTTGTTTAATCTCCCATCTGCTTTTTAATGTTACACCCTCCTCAGCATAGGTAAATGAGCTGGGCGTGTTTAGCTTACAGAACACTAGGGGAGGAGAGGAGAGAGAAGAAACAGGGCATTATGGCCATCTTCAAGGATGTGAAGAATTGATTAGATAATTGTGTGACCCCAGAGAATAGAACCAGCAGCAATGGGTGGAAATGGCCAAAAGGAAGATTTAGGCTTGATACAAGGAAGAACTTCCTAACAATAAGGGCGGCTGCGCCTAAGTAAGTAGTAAGTAGTAAGTAATCCCCAACGGACTCCTTAGAGGTTCTCCTCCTTGGAGGATTTGAAGCATAGCTTGGATGGCCACTTGGTCGACAGCTTTTAGTGGGGATTCCATTTATGTGTGATTAGACTATATAACTTCTGAGGTCTCTTCCATTTCTCCGATTCTGTGATTCACCTTGAATTATCTTAGGAGAAGTTAACCACAGATGGAGTTTTAATAAATGGCCTCAGAGATCTTTTTGTAGTAGCTCTTTAGGCATGGGCTGATTCACCTATTTCTCTTACAGTTTTATCGTTCTGATTGACTAATTGGGCTGGAGGAAGAGACAGGAAGAACTCTGATTGAACTTCAAGGTTTTCAGGTGACTGATATGCAAAAAGAAAGGACCCAGGTATTCTTAGAAGAATGATGCATCATCTAACCTCACCGTAGTATCTATCTGTCCTTATTCCCTCAAAAAAGTGAAGTGTCTGAGTTTAGTGCTTAGAGATAAGAGGACCTGGGTTTGAATTCGGGTTCTGCCAATTACTGCCTGTGTGACCTTGGGCCAAGTCATATTATCTCCGCAGGCCTCAGTTTCCTTGTCTATAAAATGAGGGGGTTGGATTAGACAACCTCTTCGGTCCTTTTCAGCTCCAAATCTGTGATCCTGTATGGGTTTTTTTCTTCATCTGAGCTTTGTGTCTCTGATTAAAAAACAAAATTTAAAAAAATGTTATTCTGCCATGGGTGCTAGCAGTAGGAGACCTACTGGTTACTGTTATGAAATTTTAGACCTGATCTTCCCACAGTTATGTGCTTTGAGATGCAAGGTTTTTTGTGGGGCTGGAATGGGGGAAGAATCAGATCCTTGCATTCTGCTCCTCTCTCTTCTTGTTTTATTAATAGGACACACAGGAAGGAAGGAAACAAGCATTTACTAAGCACCTACTATATCTCTAGCCATTGTGCTAAGTGCTTTACAATTATCTCATTGAATCCTCCCAATAATCCTTTAATGTAGGCGCCATTTTACGGTTGGAGAAACTGAGGCAGACAGAGGCTAAGTGACTTATTTGGAGTCACACAGCTAATAAGTATCTAAGGCTATATTTGAACTTGTTTTCCTGATTCCAGGCCCAGTGCCACCTAGCTGCCTCATGGTTTCTCCTCACAGCTGCCCTTCTGTCCACCCTGTTTCACTCATGTATCACCCCTTGTGTTGAGAATTTGCAGGGGTGATATTGGAGAGGGTCACTGTGTGATATTATGCCCACCTTACCCACCTTACCGTTTGGCTTGCTGAGTGTGTGGTATATGAGGTAGCTGGAGCTTTAAACCAATTACAGCCTGTTTACAATCAGTTTAAACTCAGTGTACTTAGAGTGATGGGGTTGAAGTTAAGACATTTGCTTTTGACAGTTGACTCATTATAAATATTTTCTGAAATCAGAGCATACAGATTCCCCTTCGTTCATTGTTTCTGTGTCTGTCAAAGCTGATTAAAGCTTGGAGAACAATGATAAAGCAACACTACAGATAACTTGCCTGCTTAGGGAAAATGGTTTGCTGAGGAATAGGAAAGAGTAGAAGAATAACTTTTCTTACCTATCAGATCTCATCCTGTAAATAGGCTCTTTGCCTCTTTTGAAGTAATTGCATAAAAGTAATTCACATTTTGCTCTTAAAAATGAAATCCTATTTTGGGACACTTAGTTTCTTCTCTCCACATCTATTTATGACCTTCTTCCTCTTATTGGCTTGTGTATTTTTTGAAAAGTAAAGTGGAAAATTAATTTGAACAGAACCTTAGAGTTTGAAGGAATTTTAGAGACTGTATGGGTCCAAATGATATCTGGACAAGAATCCTACTGAAGGTATCCCTGACAAGTGTGCAGTGGCAGGAGCCCTGGAATCTGGTCACCAGGATTGGATTTCCAACTCTATCCCCCAACTGGTGGCCAATGACTCTCTCTTGCTGAGCCTTAGGGCTTCTCCATTTGTAAAATGAGGGAATTGGAGCAGATGGTCTTTAAAGTGCTTTTCAGGACCAAATCCTATGAACCTTTGGAAGACTTCTAGTAATGGGGAATCCACTAGTTTCAGACAGCCCATTCCATTTTTGGACAGCTCTAATTACGAAAGAGTTTTTTTTTTCCTTTCCTATTCAAAATTAGAAAGTGGTCTTTCTGCATATTCTACCTATTGCCCGAAGTCATGGTCTCTGGAGCCAGATAGAACAGTCAAATCCCTTCTCTCCCTAACAGTTTCTCAAGTACTTGGTGACAGCTTTCATGTCTTTCTTAAATCTCCTCTTCTCCAGGCTAAACACTCTCAGTTTCTTCAAAATATTTTCCGATGGCATAGTTGCCAGACCCCTTCACCATTTTGGTTGTCCTTCACTGAATGTTTTCCAGCTTATCCATGACCTTCCTAAACTCTGGTGCCCCAGAACTGATCATAGTACAGCCGCATCTGTGATCTAACCAGGACAAAGTACAGAAGGACTTTCACCTTCCTCACTCTGGATACTCTATTAATGCAACCTAAAATTTTATTAGCTTATATTGGGTGCCAGGTCACATATATTGACTCATCTGGATCTTGCAATCTACTCAAACACAAACTGTTGTCTGCTGTGGTGGGCTTTGACCAGGCTCTGCTGTAATCCTCACTGAGTCCTGATTGCTACACATAGAAATGTACTCTGATAGTAGTGGACCATAAGGATTTAACTAGATGGGAGAAAATAAACAAGGCTATGAAATAGTAGAGGGGAAAAGTCAGGGAAAAAAAGTTGTAAAATGTAAAATAGACATGTCTCAAGTCCCATGGACTCTGTCTTGTCTGAGCAACCTTCAAGCATCCCCAGTGTTTGAGGATAGAGACCCTCGCCTTTTTCCTGGGTGCTAGGAGATTGGACTGAGGAGGAGCCTCACTGTGGGGGGACAGAGAATGGCAAGGAGGCTGTCTGTTGACTGCATCTATTATTGGATCCAGTCTGGCATGGGGTGCCCTTGTCCTGTTTTTGACAACTGTATCCTTACCAGCTAAGTAAACCAGTAAGTAATCTTCTCAGGTTTCTTTGAATTTATCCCTCTGGTAATTTCCTATGGTGCAAGAATATTTAATCATATTAATGTATCATAATTTGTTCCACTGTTCTCTAGCAGATGGCTTAGCATAGTGCCTGGCACCTAGTAGGCATTTAATAATTGCTAGTAGACTGACTTTTGGGCAACAACTTTGTTTCCAGTTCTTTGCCACCACAAAAAAGAACTATAATAAATATTTTTGTACATATGGGTCTTTTCCCTTTGTCATTGACCTCTTTGGGGTCCATGTTTTGTAGTGTTATGTCTGGGCCAAAGAGTATGCACAGTATAGTGTATCTTAGGGTTTGGTTCCATGCTATATGTGGTGGAATGGCTGATCCAGGCTATGCACAGTTTAGTAACTTTTTGTGCATAGTTCCAAATTTCTTTCTTTAATGACTGGACCAATTCACAGTTCTACCAACAGTGTAAGAATGCACCTGTTTATGAGTTCAAGTCTGTTTGATGTGTGTTTCTTATAAACAAGATGTTGCTGAATTTTTCTTTTAATCCATTCTCCTATTATCTTTGATTTTAAGGGTGAGTTCATCCCATTCACATTCACAGTTATAATAACTAATTGTATTTTTCTTTATATTCCCTTCTATATTTTTCCCTCTTTGTTCCCATCTTCCCTTTACCCTTATTTCTTTCCTTTTAAATTCCTCTTCATCATTCCCCTTACAGACTTAGAGTTGTTTTGCTTATGACTATGTGTGCACTTTATCCACCTTTGACCAGTTAAGATGAAAGTGAGGTTCCCTCACGCCTTCCTCCTTGTTTGGATAGTTTTCTATTTACACACCCCAGTTATAGGAGATAGTAAGTCCTTCCACCCTTCTTCCCTTTTTCTTACCTCCTTATAAAGAAGGAGCTCTGCTCCTGGCAGGTTCACATTAGATTCAGCCAAACCAAAAAAGGGCAATGGAGCCACAGATAAGGGATTCATACCAGTTTATTCTTCTGCTGGCTGGGATGAGAAGGAAATGAGGAAATTACCTGTGCTGCCGAGCCAGTGCCCACCTGATTTATAGAGAAACAGACAAAGAAGGCACGTTGCCAGCAGTAGGCTCATAAGTTTACATTAACTTTAGCTATATCATGGTGAGTCAGCATAGTGCAAGTGTAGTGTACTGTTTATAAGTTAAGCTCAAATGTTTACATTATGTTACATAGTGATGTGCACGCGCAGTGAAATTGCGTATAGGCCATGATCCTGGGAACTAGTATCTATGAAAGAAAAACAAATGTATATCACCTTACATACACAAGTGTAACATTTCCCTGCTTTCTTTTCTTGTAAGATCATCGAAACATAGCAAAGCAATTTTCAGGCCCTCTATCTTATTTAACTCCCTCTAGGACTCCTGAGGATGTTAGGATTCTGAGGGGAAACTTGTATCATTTTCCTCTAATAAAATGTAAATTTTTTGTCCTTATGTAATTCCTCCCACTTGCTTGCTCGTACTTACCCTTTCATTTTTCTCTTGATTCCTGTGTTTATATTTTAAAATTTTTACTCAGCTCTGGTCTTTTCATTAGTAATGCTTAGAAGTCTTCTGTTTCAGTATAGGTTAAAATTTCCCCCTTGTAGAATTATACTCTTTTTTTTTTTCTGGGTAAGTTATTATTGGTTGTAAGCCTATGTTTTTTACCTTTTCAAATATTATATTTCATGCTCTTCACTCCCTTATAGTGGAAACTATTAAATCTCCTGTCATCCTTGGTACTTGAATTCTTTCTATAGGAATGCTTGCAGGATTTTTTTCTTTGACGTGGAAGCTCTGAGTGTTGGTTATGTTATTTCTAGGAGTTTTCATTTTGAGGTTTCTTTCTTGTTCTAATATAGCTGGGTAGTTTTCTTTCATGATTTCTTGAAATATATCTGGTTTCTCTTTTTTTGGTCAGGCCTTTCAGGTAGTCCCATGGTTTTTAAATTATATTTTCTTATTTTCCAAGTTATTTGTTTTTGATAAGAGAAAGCTATTCTATTTTTCAATTGTTTGACTTTATTTTCAATATTTCTTGTTTTTTTGCGAAGTAATTAACTTCTGTTTATCCATTTTTATTTTCATGGAGTCTGTTACTTGTGTAAAGTTTTGTACTCCTTGTGTTAAGCCATAAATTCTCCTTCCAAGTGTCTCCTCCTTTAGAAAAGAGGGTCACCTTGTAGGTGAAAATCAACCCTGATTGGTGAATAATTAATGGAGGTGAGTGGGCATATTAACGAGAAGGTGGGCTAAAAGTCTTCAGTTTCTCCTGCTGAGAACATGTCTTGATCATGCCACTCGGCCACCTCCAGCAATCTGGACAAAGGAATCTATCTCTTCTCAGACCACTCTAGTTGGTTTACTCCTTTGTGAGCTGAGTTATCATGAACTCCAGTGGAGGGA